CCCCGCTTGACATTGCACAGGCAGTGAGGGGCCAGCCTGAAAAGAGCCACTAATGGCTGTAATTAGCCACTAATCACACACACTAGCTGGGGATCAATGAGGAGGGAGTTTACACTAGGGGAAGCAACCTACTCCAGGCAGGTTAAGGGAGTGGCACAGTATTTTGCTGAGCTGCCCGTGACAAAAGCCCAGTATTTTCAGGGTAGCCGCACACATTTCCTAAGGAGGCAACTCCTGACTTCACTGTGAGATCCAAAGTGACCTGAAATCCTGCAGGCCACGCACTGGGAGCACTAGCCCCAGCACCCCCAGCAGAACTAGCCAACTTCAAACACAGTATTAAACATTCAAATTCAGCAGGGCATAAGCCACAAGCTCCCAGCACATGGTGAGCTCGGCTTGGCCAGCTACAGGCATCAAAGCGTAGCTGTACTAGTATTTCTGCAGTCAAGTTTAAATCTCAACCCAGTGGATATTTAAGTTTCTAAATAAAAAACTCCAAAGTTGATGCCGGAAACCAGTGTGAGGGAAATGCCCATACTGGAGGTACATACAGGGGGCATCCTCCAGCTTTCTCCCCCTAACCCTGCCCACCCCCCTGACACAGGGCACCCCCAGCCCCTTACCTCTGCGCAGGCTCCTGACAGTGTGGGTAGGTGTTTCCATCCGTGTCAAGTGGTCAAACATGTCCTGCTCTGAAGGCTTGAGGATTTCCTTTAAAAAAGCATCCATTTCTCTCACCAAATATATGGTGGGGGTACAAAAAAACAAACAAACAAAAATAGTATCACATGATGCTAAGTGGACAAAACTTTGGGTTTTTTCTTCCCTTTTTTTCTTCTTCCTCAGGGACACCCAGGCCAGGAGCAGATTGCGGGAAGCTGCTCTGCTGCCAACAAACACTGTTACTATAGAGACACCCGGGTACAGCCGCTCTCCGCTGCCTCGCACCAACCGGCCTCGGGATGCTCTGACAGCCCCTGAAGTCAGTGCGAGCCTGACTGAAAGGGTCTGAATGTGGCTTTGGGTATCAGACACTTCACACACAACTTTTGAATAGCACGGGGCAGGTTGCAGAGTCACACACTTGAAAAACACCAGAATTAGAGTCGATGAGATAAACGTAAGCCCCCATCCTCCCGGTGTTGCATGTACACAGGCTAGCTGAGCTCTCCTTACCCTGTTGCACACCCTTCACCACAACCCTCTCCCTTACCCAGCACGCTTTGTTTTGTTTCATCAAAAAAACAAGTGGATAAAGCCTGAGACACCCGTGCAAAAGCCCAGCCTCCCCAACTACCAAAGGTGGAAACTGCAGAGCAGCTACAGGCAGGGTCTACAGACAGTCCTTGCTTTTCCCCTTCAACACCTGCTCTCTCCCAGGGCTGCCAGTTGCCAGCCTCAGCTCATCATTGTCTGGAGCTCCTTCCTGCTCCCTGCTTCCCCCTCCTAGTCCCAGCCTCACCCATACCCATGTTTACCCCTCCCAGTGTCCTGCTTTGCCACCAACTTTCCCAGTACCTAGATGCAGCAGCCAAGCAGGGCACCCACCCAGCCAGGACATACTCGTAAGGGATGAGACCATTGCTGGGTGCTTATTACAGCAAAAAGCACCACAAGTGCCGGTTAAAATTCAACTCAGCTGCTGGAGGAGCTTTTAAACCCCCCAAAGCCACTTCCTCAACCAATGCCACCTGCTGAGCTCAGCCACCACACTGTGCACCCTGGGAAGGGGCTTTTTAATGTCATGGGGAATTTCTCCTTCTTTGATGAGTTTCAGCTGAATCAGCCAGCTGGTTTAAAAGCCACCAGGGGCGAGGCAGGCACTCGGTGTACTTAGAGCTCATTTTCATAGGAAACAAGCTTAAAACCAGCATACGTGTCTCCAGTCATTCCTGTTGCCCTGTGTATGGCCCCTGTATAGGCTCCTCTGTCTCTCCAAATGTTTCTTTGTCCCCTGGCTACCTACCCACAAGCACATACATTTTTCTGGGCAGCTGACATGAGTTCTGCATGTGCTCCTGGGTCAGTGGTGGTACCACAGCACCATCCTCCTCCCACACCACCATCCTCCTCCCACACTGACTCTCCAGAAACTACCTATCTTGGTTAGAAAAAGCCCTTCTAGTTGCTTTGGTGCTGCTCCCTCCATGTCTCTGTCCTTGCAGCCCACATGGTACACGCAGTTCAACTGATATCATCCTTCCCACAGCAGGAACAAAATAACCACATCCAGCCCTCCACCAATTAAATGCCTAAAACAACAGCTGGCCCCGTGCACGCCCTGGAGCAGATCACCGACCTATGGTACCTATTGCCCCACGGATGAGTCTATCCAGTGGTTATCGCATCCCCCTGCGTGTCCAAAGAGCTGGAATTAATCCCTCGCTCCATCCAACAAACATGTTATTTTGCTGACAGATTGGGAAGTTTAATTAATAGCAGGCACATATGTTAAGCCACTCCAACCAAACAAGCTTGGTTCATCTGATACAGTACATCCACAAATACCTCTGAGATTTGAGGCAAAAAAAGAAACTGTAAAAAACCCAAAGCATCCTCACGTTATGAGCCTGTGACCAGGACTGATGCTGCTCCATGTGCGCTGACCCAGCTCATTCCTTTGGCTCACAGAAACGTGGGATTTCCATTAAAGCCAGCATTAACCAGAACCTGCTCATTAGCCACCAGAATAAAAAGCAAATTTTGGCTCAGGTATTTCATGAATCCTGCGTGCTTTGGCTGGCAGTCGACTGTGTGACCTTTAATGAGAAAGAAAAAAAAAAGAAAAAAAGAGAAAGTGGAGAAATTTCTTTTACAGGAAGAAAACCACTTTAAATACCTTCTTGTCCTCCCAGTGGCTCTTGGTTACCAGCAGTGTCAAAGCCTGCCTTTAGCTGGGGAAGTATTGCTGCTGGGAAATGCTACTACAGTGGCTAAGATCTCCCAGTTTGTCTTGGGTTGTGTCTGTGCCAGAAAGAGAGGCTGTGACTCCCAGCATAAAATCCCTTCATGGGCAGGCGATGAAAGCTGCTGGTGTCTGCCCGATTTGGGTGGCACCTGTCGCCTGCGGGATGCTGCTGGGCATCACCACTGTCCCCGGGATGGGTTTGCTGCTGAGCATCCCTTGCTGGCGGTGAAAGCCAGGGACCGCACTGAGCCCAACCACAAGGAAAGGAGGGAGTCTTGCTATTTTTTTAATCATAAAATCATTTAGGTTAGAAAAGACCTTTATGATCACTGAGTCCAACCACAGATCTAACACTGGCAAGTCCACCACTAAACCGTGTCCCTAAGTGCCACATCTGCACGTCTTTTAAATACCTCCAGGGATGGCGACTCAACCACTTCCCTGGGCAGCCTGTTCCGGTGCTTGGCACCCACTTGTGACACCTGCACTCGGTCCCGGCAGCGGCCGAGGGGTCAGGTACAGGCGCTATGGGGACCTGGGCGGGTGCTGCCTGTAGCTGTTGTATTCACGTGTGATTTTTATCAAATCAATGACCTGGAGCTAGGCAGTTCCCATGCAGGGAATTTATAATATAAGCAGCAAGTGAGAGGAGAGGATATTATTCTTATTTTATTGAGAGGCAAATGTAGTAGAAGAAAGTGAAAAGGTTGGGTACATGAGGGCATTTGCTGGCACTGGTGCAGGAAAACCTGTATAACCAGCAGAACATCCACAGAGAAGCAAAGCTGATACACTTCCCTGCCACGTTTTGATGCTGGGACAAGACTAATTCTGAGGCACAGGGATCTGATCCTGGGTCCTATAAAAGCTGACTACTGGTCTTAACCATTAAATAACAGCTCAGCTGGTGCTTTTAATGTCTTTGCAAACCCAGCAAACTGGGCATTGGTGTGCACGTCCCTGCAGAGGGTGCAGAGCAGCACCGTGCACAACCACAGAGCATCGCCTATGTACATGGCTTGGTGCTGTCTGTGTATCGACGGACCCTTAGGACTTCTAAATATTCTGCTTTTACCTCCATATATTTTTAAAATATCCATCCAGGTGCCAGGAGCTCCAGCCTGCTGAAGCAGGAGGTGGATTTCATGATAGATTCTGTGTCTGTGCATTTTATTGTAGAACTACAGAGGAAAAAGTTTTGCAATAGCAGGAGGAAGAACAGGCTGACCTCATAGATATTTTCTACACAAAGCTTTGGGGAGCTTGGATTCCTCCTAGAGCCTCCCATTTGCTTCTTAGAACAAACTGCAGGAGAAGAGAGATTCTGCGGGAGGAGGCTGGGCAAAAGCCAGATCACCCGGGAGTTAGGAGGGTTTCAGCCCATCCCTAATCCTCCTTCCACGCTGCAGTGACACAGATTTGTGCAGTCTGAGACCAGAACTGCTGTTCTCTCCCTCCCCTGGTCCCAGCATGGGCGATGGGGACAGGGAGGGGCCCGCTTCTCCCTGCAGCCCCGCACAGTCTGTGATGTCCTGCCAGGTCAGTCCCCACCCCAAGTGTCTTTAGGCACAAAATAGAGGTTTTTTAACTGAAGCACAGAGCTCTCATGGAAAGCAGTGGATTTCCACCTGCAGCAGGTGGGTGAGGACTCCCTGAGGGGAGCCGGGTGTAATTCCTTACCCGACTGCACATGGGAAAGGGATTCAGATGCTGGTGGTATGTCTGGGTTGAGTAATACCTCTGGCAAGAAGCAGACAAGTTTGGGAAGTGTGTAATGGTGCCTCTCGTGTCACGAGAGCCTCAGAGGGCTGCCTGTCCACGAAAGGGAGGGGTGGGCTGACCACCCATGCAAGCAGAGCTGTGCAGGCATTGCCTGCTCCCCCCTGCCCGCCCTGGGGCTCTCCCATGGGGCAGGAGCTGGCAGTGCTGGGGGGCATCCTGCACGGAGACCCACAGATCCCTGCCAGCCTCCCCTCCCTTGGGGGTCACCCCTGGGCTGCTGGAGGAAGCAGTGTGGCCCCCCTGTGTCCTCAAATGAAGGGAGGAGGGAGGGCACATCTTCATCTTCTTTAGCAGCAGATTTTAATAATCACAATACTGAGGACTGCAGTCAGATAGCAGGAAGGGAACACCCTTGGTGGAGGCTGAGGGTGGGAGCTGGAAGGCACCGAGGTTGGAGGTGGGGCAAGATGGGGAGGATGCTCCCAAAAACACAGCAAGCTGAAATTCAACCCAGCCCAGCAGTTCCACCCGAAACAACCCTGGGAGCCAGGATCGGGGCCGGTCACTGCCCCAGCGCAGCCCCTCTCATGGGACAGGCAGTGTTTGGGGGCTACACACGCCGTCCCTCTCCCCGGGGCTGTGCCTGTGCCTGTTCTGGCACTCGCATCCCTCTGCCCAGACAGCAGCAGGAACCTGGGCGCTCCTGCAGCTGGGCGGTTCTGTCACTTCGGTAGTGACAGTAACTGTTTTCACAGAGCATCGTAAATAAAGAGATGTTTGGCCAACACACAACAGGCAGAGCCCTGCCTGCAGAGCCAGGAGTTTCAGTGCTGAGGTCACTTCTTCTGCCGTCCCAGCCCCAACGTGTCCCAGCCCTGTGCTGGGAGGAGCAGGGACAGAGGGAAGGAGAGCTGGTGGGTGCACCCACCTCCCCCCGAACCAGGGGAGAAAGGGAGAAGGGAGGAAAAGGGATCAGTGCTGAGGGCAAGGTTATTACACTTGCAGAAGCCACAAGGAACCAGCTCTCATTAGGAGCAACCAAGGGACCCATGCAGGAGAGATGTGATGGCAGACAAAACCAGGTCTCAGTCCTGCAAGG